GGAGTGCCCGTTCTCTGAATGCTGCTGAGGTACCTTGTCCCTCAGTCTTCAGGTGCCCCTCAGCTATCCACTTATCCTCTCGAGTTTCCTGGAATGTGCCCTCTGTGCTTCACCCTGGCTAATGATTCTCTGTTTGTTTAAATGTGTCCTTACCATATTACACTATCTTGATTCTCCTAGAAAGTTTTAATATAATACATAAAGCATAAAAAGAAATCTATTTGCAAAAATATTAAACATATAGACAAGATAAAATAATGGGGAAATTTTTATAACAAAAGGATTGATATCCAGTATAAAAAATAAATTTGTGTAATCATTAAGATGAAAACTGATCCAAAAAATGGGTCCCAAATATCAGTAGAAAGTCACCAGGAGAGACAAACACATGAAGCCTTCCTCTGCTTAGTAGTGATCAGAGAAATGGGTGTTACAATCAAAACAGGACATCATTTAATATCTATCAGAGGGACAAAGCTTTTAAAATTTGAGTATAATGAGTATTTTCATGGATGTGAGGAAATACACACAAACATTGGTAATAGTACAAATTCTCAAATCTTCACTGAATCTGGAAGTTTAAATATAATTTTTTGATGAATATAATTTTTAAAGTCCATATTTACTTGATCTAGAAATTTACTTCATTCAGATCATCTTTCTCATAGAAACAGTCAAATATGTGGGGGTCTTGAAAGGACACTCGTAACAGTATTATAATTGCAAGAAAAGGTTAGAAAATAAAACAAAAAGCCTTTTACTGGAGGAAACGGAGAGATAGCTGAATAAGCTAAGATTTATTAAAAATGCCAAACCTGTTTTCCTCATATAGAGTTCCCTTAGCAGTACCATTTTCATTTTAAGGACAAGGAAACTAAAGCTCAGAGTTGTTAATTAACTGTAAGATAACAGGTTGTGGGTGGGTCTCAGGGGGGCGTCTCATGCCTGGATCCCAGACAGCCACCATGTGCATGTGGTGAGCTGTTCCTGGGCAACCAGTGCGCCATTTTGCTGCCAAGCTCCGCCTGCTGGCCGCCCGGCTGGGGAGCTCTGGGGATTTGGTTCTTTGAGTTGCGGCTTAATTAGCTCCAGGTTGCACCCACTGTGCTTCTTGGACCTGAAACAGGCAGTAACTCTTCCTTTGCAAAACTTGTAATCACTAATAATGCTGAGCACCAAATACCAGTCCATGCAGAAGATATAGCTTGGGGCTTGTCCTGCAAAAGTAGGTCCAACAGCTGGCCAATGTGTCAACTGGTAATGGAACAGAGTAGATCAGGCACGACTGAGCAAACCTTAGCCCACAAGTAAAACTAGAAACCAGGAGGGAGCAGAGGTCATGCTGAGCTAGGCTCTTGTACCTACTGGTCTGCAGGAGCCAGGGACGCTAAGCCATAGTGTCTAAGGCAGCGTTCGGGACAGGTGAGGGGCTGTGCCAAGCTGAGTCAGAGCATCCATTGGCAGGCAAGTGATCTATGGCTGGGAACAGGCCCAGTTGGGGAGCAAAGGGGACAACCCTAGCTGGGCTGAGGTTCCCACCAAGAGGCGCGTGGCCTGGAAGGGGGGCTGCGTTCTGATCTGGAAACAGTTGTAGTCTCCCTTGGCACAAGTGTGGACTGGGATTGGATGCACCGAACTGGGCTGGATCCCGACTTCCCCTGGTGTTCTGGAGGACCAGGGCAGATGTGGGATGGACCAGGCAGGGTCTCAAACCCCTACTGAGCCATGTGTGAGCCATACGTGGGTATGGACAAACCATGGCTGGACTGGAACATCCAACAGCAAGAACCAGATTGGGTGGAAGGCCAGTCAAGAAAAGCCACAGTTCCTGCTATGACAGGAGGTGGACTGAGCAGGGCTGGCTCATGGACCCACTGGTATGTGTGAAACCTGGCATTGGGAGAGGTTCTGATGGAGGAGCCTGGGCAACTCCTCTGGCAGGACACAGACCAGGCAGGTAAGCGCAAGAAACATGATAGGAAACAGCCCAGAAAAGGCCATGGAAAGCTACACACTGGCATACACTTGGCAGACGTGGGGGCAAGACCAGGCTGAATCTGTCCACGTCATCCACTGGCAAATCCAGGCACCAGTGTGGGTCGACCCAGGGTCAGTCGCAACAAAGACTAGTGCACAATATGGAATGCCGAGGTGAGGTTGCCTGTACTGGAAGGGACCGCAGCACCCAACCAGCCTGAGAACAAGAAAGGAAGTGGGCAGAGCCGGCAGGGGAATAAGGGAGGGTTCCTTTGCAGGACAGCTACTTCCACAGGAGAGCATAGGCTGGGATGGGGGCAGACCAGACTAGGCAGAGCTACCACACCTGTGCGCCTCATGTGGACTTAGATCAGGGAAAAGCCGGGCTGGGCAGATTATTCCTACTGGTGCAAACAAAATTAAAGTGGGCGAGGGTTGTTTGGACTTAGCCACAGCATCAGCTGGAATCTGGGAGTGGGAGAGGCCTGGGAGGGAAATAGTGGGCTCATCCCTCTTGGGTTACCACTTCCACGGGAGGACATAAAACTAAGATAGCGGCTGGGGTGGAATGGGGTGTGGAACAGACTGGATTACTGCTACACTTACTGGCAAACCAGGGTAGGGGGTGGGCCTGGTGGGGGTTATTGTGGGTCGCTCCAACCTAGGCTGCAGCTCCCACTGGTTTAGGTGAGGGCCAATTATGTGCTGGGCAGAACCAGGTTGGACTGCAACACCCATTGGTTCCAGTGGAAGTCAGGAGTGAAAACAGAACCAACCCAGCAAGTGCAACCACCAGCTGATTGGGGCGATGGACGGTGCCAGGCCCTGTACTTGTTAGCACATACAAGAAGTTTCTTTGGAGATCTTCCTAATCTAAATGCTGGACTCAGAACCCTAACGAAGAAAAGAGAGAAGACAGAACAAGTCAATCAACCATCTCAGCTATGATGGACTATGTCAATCAGTGGAGTTTTCAAAGATCTCATAGTGCTTGGAGTGGCAAGATTGACAGCAATTCATAACTGTTGCAATATCAAAACCACTTGAGCAAGAACCTCAGAGCATGCCCTACATCTGGGACCTGGGGAGGGTGGGAAATTGGGTGGGCCTTCTCCCTTAATATCCCCTTTTAAACATGAAGGCAACAGTATGAAAAACATACTAGTATTATCCACTTTCCTGTAGCCCTTGAAACTTCTTACCCTAATTAACTATGTAAAGGATGTCAAAATAAAATTTTATAAAAAAAAAACATTAAGAAACTGAATAAAAGTTAAAAAAAAAAAGATAACAGGTTGTAGAGACAGGACATGAACCCAAATCATCTAATCTGATATCCCACAACACGTGTGTTTGTATGTGTGTGTGTGTGAGAGAGAGAGGGTAGAGGTAATGCAATAAAAATTCACCATTTTAGAGGCTGTCCAAAGGCATAAGGCATATTAGAAAGTATTTACTGGGCCCGGCGCGGTGGCGCAAGTGGTTAAAGGTCCTCGCCTTGCACGCCCAGGATCCCATATGGGCGCTGGTTCTAATCCCGGCAGTCCCGCTTCCCTTCCAGCTCCCTGCCTGTGGCCTGGGAAAGCAGTCGAGGACAGCCCAAAGCTTTGGGAACCTGCACCCGCGTGGGAGACCCGGAAGAGGCTCCTGGCTTCGGATCGGCATGGTATCGGCCCGTTGCGCTCACTTGGGGAGTGAATCATCGGACGGAAGATCTTCCTCTCTGTCTCTCCTCTCTGTATGTCTGCCTTTCCAATGAAAAAATAATAAAAATAAATCTTAAAAAAAAAAAAAAGAAAGTATTTACTGTATTTTAATTCCTTTATAAGCCTCTGAACTGTCTTCCACAATGGCTTCATGAGTCTACCTTCTGAATGGCAGTGTATAGGGTTCCTTCATAATCTCACTAAAGGTACACCAGTATCCTAAATGGATGCCAGTTTAAGTCTCTGCTGCTTCATTTCTGATCTAGCTTCCTGCTCATGGCCTGTAAAAAGCAGTGAAGGATGACCCAAGTGTTTGGTCCCTGCCACACATATGGGAGACCTGGAAGAAGATCCCAGCCCCTCACTTGAATTGGCCCAACTCCGGCCTTGAAACCTGCTGAACAGTGAACCAACAGATGGACCATGCTCATTATCTCAACTCTGACTTTCAAATAAATAAATATGTTTAAGAGGAGTAATGAGAATGTCAATCAGTGCCCTCCACAATGTGAATGATCCTCATCACTGAGTGACTAGAACTAAAAGGCAGACAGAGGGAAAATTCTCTCTGTGTCTGCTTCAGCCGGGACACTGCTCTTTGCCTAATCTTGGAATGGAATCTACATCATCAGCTTTTCCTTCCTGACCTTCAGACTTGGACTAGAACTCACACCACTGGCTCTCATGCCTTAAGACTAAATTAGAACTACTCCACTAGCTTTCCTGGAGCCTCAGTTTGAAGATGGGCATTTCCAATACATACTAGCCTCCATAATTTTGTGAACTAGTTCTTTATTTTATAAACACACACACACACACACACACACACAAACACACATGCAGGCATTTCAAAAAGCTCATGGAAAATAGAATTAAAAGACAAGGTTATTTTGGTACAAAAATCGAAATCCATGCATATGAAGCCATAGCCTAGAACTCAGTTCAAGTTCCTGTGTGAGTAGCACACCACCTGATAACTCTATAGCTGTAACATTCCTTGTCTGTGAGTTTGAATCCCTGTTCCCTTGTATCCTATGTCACACAGAGGTAAGTTTTGGCTGTAGCAGTATTTCACTGTTTACCATTGTTATTTTGTCTTTACCATAACTTAGAAGAAAATTTTGGAAATAGATGGCTAGACATCCTTTCAACTTCAAAGAAACAGTAATATCTCACAAAACCAATATGCCATTACACAACAAAGTCAGCATACTTAATTGAATTGTACATTTAAATGTTTAAGATGGTAAATGTTTAAGCTATACATCTTTTAAAAGAACAATTTGAAAAGCATTTTTACATTCACATATCTCTTACCAAAATGGTCTTCATGTTGTTGCCAGGAACAGTTCAGAGGCTTGGAGGCTGTATGGTGTCCATGAACAGTTAAAGGAAATAAGCTTTTGAAGCTGGGCTGCTGAAGGGCCGGGCATATGACCCCACCCTTCATAAAGCCCTGGAGTCTGCTTGGTAGGTATGACAATTTGCAGTACCACATGCTAGAAGATTGGAAAGCAACAATTCAGAATTAGTAACATTATAAAAGTTTTATCTAGTTATAGAAATAATACTACACATATAACCATGTGAAAGAAAAGATTTATTTATCTCAATTAAGGAAAAGTAAACAAAGAAATTCTGAAAACCTAACACTAAGTGACCTGTCACCATTACTTATAGTTTCTTGTGAATCTCTTTTATTTTATTTTTGCAATCTTGCTTCTTCTCTCACTATATTGCCACACCAGTTGCGCGGTGGTGCAGTGGTTAAGGTCCTCGCCTTGCACGCCCAGGATCCCATATGGGCGCCGGTTCTATCCCGGCTGCTCTACTCTCCATCCAGCTCCCTGCCTGTGGCCCGGGAAAGCAGTCGAGGACTGCCCAAAGCTTTGGGCACCCTGCACCCGCATGGGAGACCCGGAAGAGGCTCCTGGCTTCGGATCGGCCTTGCGCCAGCCGTTGCGCTCACTTGGGGAATGAATCATCAGACGGAGGATCTTCCTCTCTGTCTCTCCTCTCTGTATATATGCCTTTCCAATAAAAAAAAAATTTAAAAATTAAAAAAAAACACAATGAGCATTTTTCAGGTCTCAATCGTTGGGGTCTCTCTGTTTGTGACTGTGGACACATTACTTAAATGTTTGATTTGATTTCCTGCTTAGTAAAATGAAGACAGTATTAATATTTAACTTGTGAGTCTAGTGTGAAGGCTAAAGTACTTACAATTGTACCTGTTCCACAGAAAGCACTACGTGTGTATCAACTACTATTATCGTTATCTGATGATTACTATTTATGATAAACTATGTCTGTTTAGAAAGTGTTTTGATAAGCATTGTAGTTGGTGACTCTGAATGTGTAATTTCAAAAAAATTTGTCAATAACTCCATTTGCAGGAAAAGGAATTAATGTGTCCTTGAAGAGGAAGAAATCCTTGTATTTACAGAGAAGCTGTGTGGTTCTTTTTTTTTTTTTATTACATTGCATCATGAGACACAGTTTTACAGGCACTTGGATTCCCCCCTCCCCTCCCCAAAACCCGCTCCCCCCCCCCCATGGTGGATTCTTCCATCTTGTTTCATTACCACAGATCAAATTCAGTTGAGATTTTTTTTTCCTTGCAAGCATCTACAAAACATAGAGTCCAGCATCTTATTGTGCAGATAAGTTCATCAGTTTCATGGGGAGACAGTTTCTGGTCTGAAGGTACAGCCGAAAGAGTATCATCCCAATCAATTGAAAGCCCCGACATTACATCAGTAACAATTTATAATGTACCAGAATTAGTTGAAATGATATTGTGTAACCAGCATGTTCAAAGAGAGAGAAAACAACAACAACAACAAAAAAGAGTAAAAGTTCTAAACCACATCCTATGACTTCTACATTGACATTACAATTATTAGTTTATATACAGCTGGGTTCTATACACCTTAAAATGGCTGTGTGGTTCTTGATGTGAACCTTCTTAATGATCCCCTAAATATGTAGTTAAGCAACTTACCTTACAACATGCTTATTTTGAGTAGACTTGTGCTAGAAATATAATAATAAATGAAGCAATCTAACATTTCCTTTAAAAGGTTCTCCCCCATTGCTAATTATGAAGTCGTGAAGTCTTTACCCTCTAATGATTCTCAAACCTGACTCATTGCATTATATCTCTTTTTGTCACCACCTCAGTTCAGGACCACCATTATTTCTCACTCAGAATACATGTTCACCCTTTCCCCTGCCTTCAAATTATGTTGCACAGTGTAGTAAGAGTGCACTAAAATAGATACATGGATCTGTTACTTCCTTTGCATGGCTCTCTAAGGCCTTTAGGGTAAGACTCAATCTGCTTATGCTTTATAATGCCTTCTAGTTCTTTTTATTTGCCTCTTGTGTATGCTCTTCATTCCCTCAAACTGGAAGTCCTTCCTACTTTGTTGTTTATTAATCTTATAAGAATCAGTATGAAGATCATCTCATCTAAAAAATCTTCCCTAAACTCCCAAAATAAACTGATAGATTTCTTTTTTGTTGTTTTCATATAATACTCCACTTATGCCTTGCTTCTTTGTTGAAATTGTTTATATAAAGATAAACCTTTTGCTCAATAATACTAGATGTTTTGCAAGATAGACTTGTATGTCTCACTCATTTCTGCATACTAACATCTAGCATAATTCCCAATATTTAGTAGAACTCCCTAAGTGCTTGTAGGAATTGAATCACTCTTCCTCTAGCTTCATAGCCTCTTTAAACATAATAAGATATCTGCTACAAAATTTCATACAAGTAAGTAACAAAGATATTAACTAGGTTACTTCAAAGGTCAGGTTTATAGCATCTCATCAAAAAATTCTTCCTAAATGTGTAGACAGTGGGATGCCAAACTGTCTGACACTGACTTTACCAGCAATGCCAGGATACACTTAAATAAGAGACTGATGGAATTATGACTTCCTTATGAAGGACTATATTATTGTAGCAACATAGGGAAAACCTGTCGGGGGTGAGAGTTTGGGGGGAATCCCAAATAAAATAAAATTTAAAAATGAAAAAAATTCTTCCTTTGCCTATACTCTGTTATAAGCACTTTGAATATGATAATTGAATTAATGTATAAGGATATAAATTACCTAGCCTATACTGTGTTTTCCATCAGGGTATCAAAAATTTGTTTAAAGTGTTGTTTTACATGCTCCACATCAGGAACCCTGCAATGACATCCGCCATTCCAAGGTATGGAGTTGGTTGGGAGGCTGGGTGCAGCTTCCCTTCTACCTCCCCGCTTTCCCCAGATACAGGAAGAAGAAAAAGAAAATTTTGAAACAATGGTCTCAGTTTTCTAAGTACATACTTACTTTTAAAATCTTTCAGAAGCCAACTCAGGAGATATTTAGCTCACTAGTAAGCAGATTATAGACTGTTTCTCCTTGTTAGAACTAGTAATATTTTACATAGATAAGTTACAACTTATCCATTCCAAGACACATTTTTTTTCTTTCAAGAGCATGATTAAAATACTGCTGTTTTATTTTAAAACATGTGCTTCTACAAGCCTGAAGCAATTTTGGGACTTTTAGAATATTAATCATTTAGACACATGCCATCGGTTACATTTTATAAACTTGCTTTTGTGTCCTTCTTCTCTGAGAATATTTTTTAAAATATCCACAAGTTCTTCATATATATAGCTTCTTATATAATCTCATGCTGTTGTTCTTTTCATTTACCAGAATAATTTGCTGCTTTATACTCAAAATTATGTTCTCAAGTGCTTCACAACCATTGGAGTCTAAAGTTATCTTACTGTAAATTAAGTAAAATTAAAAATGTGGGGAAGAGCGGAGAATCAAGATGCTGGAACACTTTCTTTTGATTAAATCATTCAATGACTCATAGATCATGCAGTGGCATCATTTTCTTCAAGAAGGTTCTTGATTTTTATTTCTTTCGCTACATGTTAGTCATTTAATAGCATGTTGTTTAACTTCTTGGTGTTGTTCGTTTCTTTTTTTTTTTTCTCCCGGATGTTGAGTTTATTTTGTGGCTCTTCATTTAAGGGGATGTATAGTAGCTGTGTAATGGAGACTGTCATATCTAGTAACATATCATTTAACTTCATGGCATTGTAAATTTCTATTTTTCTTTCCATTGTTGATTTTGTATCATGACTTTTCATTTAAGGGAATGTACAGTAGCTGTGAAATGGAGACTAACATCCAGATGTGAGGATACAATGCAGTATACATTTTTGCTTCCAGACAAAGATGGACTTCCTATGAAACTGTTTACTATATCTTGACAATAGGATTTTGGACTCTGTACGATTGTCCATGCCCGCAATGATGGACATATGACTGAGTATGAAGAACTATACTATAGTAATAATATAGGGGAACTAGGTGGGGGGGAGGGAATTGGGGAGAAGATAAGGGAATATGGAACTGTATCATAAAGTGATAATAATAATAATAAAATGTAAAAAAAAAAAGAAATCCAGCCTTTCATGAATTATCATTCTTAATCATATTCAATTCACAAAATAAAATCCTTTCTTTAAAACAAACAAAAAAAATGTGGGGAACAATGAAAAAAAATACAGCAAGTATTAACCACAGTAACAGGAACTTCTGGAGAAGAGCCATAGCTAGAAATTTTAGTCAGAATGAGCAATTCCATAATAGGTCAATCTGAATCTCTTCATAGCTATTACTGAAGAGGAAGCATTACCTCCAGAAAGGCTTAAAGCCAAAAATCCATTTAGTTCCTATCAGTTTTTTTCCTTCCAAATGTCTTTCAGATTTGTCCTTTTCTTTCTACTCCTGTAGATGTCTTCATCACCTCATACCTGGACTATTGCCATAGGCTAGATGGTTTCCTTATTTTCAGTTCATTCATATTCCAATCCATTTTCCATGATTGCTAGATTAATCCTCTTAAAACACTTTCATCATGTCACTCTCCTGCATGAGACTAAGCTAAAATGTCACCTTCTCTGTAAAACAGCCTCAGCACTCTAAGGAAGAATTAGCAGGCCTCTGTGCATACCCGTATTAGTACACTTGTGACATGCTTAAATGCATAATTATTTTTATTGTCGTTTGCTGTGAGTTCCTGAGGATAGGTTACTGGTTTGGGTCATTTTTTTTTTATAGTGACAGAACTTTTCATAATCCTGTTCATCTATCTTTGTCCCACCATCTCAAGGCCATAGCTATGTGGTACCCTGTGCACTCCCCTTCATTCTTCTTAATTATTCTTGATGTTTCAGATTAAACACGAACTAGCCGAAAAATCTTCCTTGATGTTCTTATTAACAAATTAATTAACTGCTTTAGTAAATACGTTGAGAATGCAAAAAGTCTTGTTTTCAAGGCTAGTATTCTGGTGCAATGGGATAAACTGCTGCTTGCAATGCCAGCACCCCATACAGGAATACTGGTTTGAGTCCTGAGTGCTCCACCTTTAATCTAGCTTCCTGCTAAAACACTTTTGAATATAACAG